CTTGGATAAGTCCATCCCCTCAATAGGATTATTCCTTCATTTTATTTATTTATTTATGACATTTATAAAGCCACTCAACTCAGAATTTATGACTCTACTGGACATATATCAATAGAAATAAAAAACAATCAAAATTGAACAAAAAATAATATAAAACCCAACTAACAAACCACAATCATGGACATATGCATAGCCAAGGCAGAGAATAACAAACTCTAATCCTCCCAGCAGATGGACCTAATTATCATCTTGGCCCAATGTGTGGGAGAAAAGATAGATCATCACATCTCTATGAAGGGCTAATAGGGTTGCGAGTGCCTGAACCTTGAGGGGCAGGTATAGCAACAGACAACAGCATATCTCCTACGTCCCATTTGGACACTGCCTCACAGAGGGGATCTGGAAAATGCCCACCCTGTACAATCTAGTGGAATGAGCAGAAATAACCAGACATAGGCAGTCTCACAAATAACCTGGTCCTGTGCCATGTAGGGCTTTATAGGTGAGAGACAGAAACCTGAACTGCATGTAGAAGCCTACTGGGAGCCAGTGCACCTTACAGAGTTGTGGTGCTACATGGCATACTGTGGTGTGCCATTACTACCAATATAGCTGCCTTCTGGAGTTGCAGGTTCCAGATGGTTTTCAAAGGTAACCCCATATAAAGCACATTGCAGAAATCCAACTGGGAAGTGATCAAGTTATGAGTAACTGTGAAGAGCCTCCCAATCCCCAAACTGGTGCAATTGGCATACGAAATGGAGTTGTTCAAAGGCTATACTGGCCGCAGCTGCCACCTGCTCTTCAAACAGAAGTTGTGCACAGCGAGACAACCCGACTCAGAACCAGGAACTGAATCCAAACCCACAGCCACTGTATCTCACTAGGGTTAAGTTAAGCCTGTTCTTTTCATAGCCTCCAGACACTGGAAAAGCACCAAGTCATCATCACCTGGTTGGCCAGGGACAGAAATGACAATTAAGTATCATCAGTATAATGATTATATTTAACAGTCATCCTCTGCCAAAAGATGACCTCACCCAGTGGCTTCATGTAGATATGGAGAGAGAATGGAACCCTGAGGCACCTTACAAAGCAATGGTCTAGATCTGGATCTCTTTCCCTCTACCAACACTGATTAGCCCTGGAGAGAGAAGAGCCACCACAACACCATACTTCCCACTTTCAAACTTTGACCTGGTCCAGAAGCTGATCTTCCTCCTTGTGGTAAAGGGGAGCCACAGAGATTTCTAAGGCTAATAGGAGGTGATCTGTCCATCATAAGGGACAGATGATAACATTCCCCAATTCCATATCATGTCACCACTGCTCTGAGATGAAAACCAGATCTAGTGGTACCCCCCATGTGCACTGGACTCTTGATGACCTGGGTCAAATTCATGTTTGCCATGAGTGGCCATACACCCTCCAACCACTTCAGATTCCCACCCAAGAAAGGCAAGTTGAAATCTCCCAATGTTGCTAAGCCTAGGAAATTCCACCGCCCACCTGGCCACAGAAGTCAGCAGCTCAGGTAGGGAAGCAGCTACGTGGCTGGGAAGTTGGTACAGTTGCAGCGATCCCAACTTCACAACAGGGCCTTACATCTGATTATCTATGGAACAGTGCCCTTGAAAGCCATAAAGTGTCCCTTGGATGATCAAAACTAGTCCCCTGCCCCTACCTGGGGTTGTGGCTTATGCCACACTTGAAGCCCATTTGGGCATCTTTCTGATAAGGGCATCCCTTCTTAAACGCTCAGCCAGATCTCAGTGATAAATGAGTTGGCTCTCTCATCAATGATTAAACCATGAACAGCAGCTGGAGACCAAGGCCACCTAAGGTCCAATGATCAAGCAAAAGGGTTGAGTCCAGGGGGCTGGAGTGCAAAACCTTCACTAAACACTGAGGCTACATTCCCCATAAGCAGCCCCCCCTCCAGTTCCCAGCATAGCTCCCTTATTCATCACTACTGGAATGTTATTGCTTGCCCTTAACCTCCCTGACCTACATTCCCTTCCGAACCCACCCATGTTAAACCCTCTCCTTGAAAGATGGTTCAGGTATCAAGGATGCTTCTGCCTTGCATTCTGCATCCCAATTCCAGGCCATCAGCCACCATCCACTCACAATCAAACATTTACACCATCTGCAGATTACCTGTGGCCAACCAGGGTAAGAAATCACAAACAGTAACAAGCTATGAAATACTCACGCCCCCCTTCCATCTCCCACCTGAGGGGAGAGCAAATAGCAGTGAACCCAGCATCTCCAACCCAACAAAATCTTCGACATTGCTCTGTCTGAAGCCACTTCATAAATCCATGAAGGAAAATTGATTTAAAAAAAAAATCCCGACAGGTTGTCAAAGTGGTCAATAGTCAGTATGAATGTGGGTTTTTTCCTTTTGAAAAAGTTGGATGAGAGGATGACAAATGCAAACAGAGATAAATGGTGGCATGTTTTTTTTTTAATTTACAGGGTTAGGGTTAGAATTGTTGAATTGTTGAATTTTCCTACTACTTATTCCTTAGGAGTCAGAATTAACTGATTTTGGTTTACCACACTGAAGTGGGATTATGTTTATCTCTTACAGTTAACTGTTTTTCAGTTGCTCAGGCTATCCTGAGACCTCAAAAGCTGGACACCTGAGAGTCCCATTGTGTACTAAAAGTTCAGGAATGAAAGATTTCCTCTGTCTTTCTTCCACATGCTGATAACCACTCAAAATGTTTGTAAGCTTTTTTGCAGACAGCTAATCTCAGAGGAAACATTGGATATGAATGCTCTTATTGATGACTAATGATGCATTATTCCTATATGTCAGTTAGGTATTTCCTATGGAAAACAATAAAAACACAAATATTGCCCCATTTGTTTAAACTACTGGAAGCTTTCAACGCTACATTAGTAATGTAACAAATCTGAACGTTTCTGTTTTGGCTCCTATTGTCTTCAGATGAATTTGGATCACAGTTAAAGAGGAAAGTGAAGGTTCTAATTAAACAGTGCAAAACAAAAATGTTCTGATAATTAAGCCTCTGAATTCTTATCAGGCTCTTAAAAACAAAGACCCAATGATCTAGCAGCATTACTTTGATTCAGCTCTATAGCAATTCACACAAATAGTTTTTATTGCCATAAATGATTAAAAAGAAGTTTTGCATTTTCAGTTGTACATACATATGCCAGTATTACAAAAATAAAATAACTCAGATTAAAACGTGCTTCCTCTTCATCTAAAATTCTCAATTGTGAAGCAATGTGCTGTTCTGAAGATTCATATGGATGGGAGTAAGAAGAAAAAGAGGAAGAAAGATTCATTCTTACATATTTCTCTGCTACCACTCTCAACAGAAATAAAGACACCAATTCACATTGTACACAGGAACATCCAGAAACATTCCTTAAATTTTACTGAGTTATAGCTTTTCCATATAATATCAGAAATCATTTCTCAAAAACAAAGGAAGGTAGTAAGTACACGCATAAACCACTTCTGGCATACTACAAAGGAGGCAAAATTCACACTTTAACTCATGCAGCAGGGCATAAACTTCATGGGTGTTTATATAAGTTTGTTTAACAACAACAACAACAACAACACTTTCATTTTAGTACATCAGAGTGATTTTTTCATATAAATGGAAACATATTTTGTTTTATCCAAGAAGATACACTTGAAATAATTTAATTGATGAATACCTATTACTAGGGTTTTGCAAATCTTCAATGATGTGTTTCACTTCAATAAAGGTCTGAGCAAAGCGTCACCTCAGAGGTTTCTTTATGATGCAATGTGGCCCCCATTTCTAGAAGACAGCAAACCAACCATGTTGCTTTGTGCTGCTTTGCTTCAGAACCCCTTTCAGCCTTCTCCTACAGAATTGCAAGCTGAGAGGAGTCTTCTATGGTGGATACTGAAGGAGAAAGCTGAGAGGAACCTTCCATAGTTCCAGCCAAAATGTTTCTAGATGGCTTTAGCAAGCACTCTGGGACTTTTCACAGACCGTAAATAAGCTACAAAGTCTGGTAGTTTGCCAATACCATCAAAGGTCTTCTTCTAGGTTGGACAGTTTCTGTGAACGCTGGGGCAATCCTACACCACATGCTGAAGCTATTTAGGCTAGAGTCCTCTGGTGCATGCACAATTTTTTCTAGGATGCTCAATGAATCCTGCGGTATCACTAAAACTGCTCAGCTTGGAAATGCTTTTTTCTCACAGCAATGACCCACAATGGCTCAAGACAAAGTAAATGGTTTCACTAAGACAAAGTGCGTTGTCTCTTTGCCTTGACAAAGGGAACCACATCTCTTCCACAGAGCACATCTCTTTGTCAAGGTGAATTGAGGTTACTTGCACCAGCCTATTGACTACTTCTTGGCCTTATCTTTCACCTCCTATGAACAGGGTTTCATAGTCTTACACTTCATGCTTCAATTTTAAATTTACAAAAGCAACTGCTCTTTGTTCAACCTGCGAGTCTAATGTTCCAATATACAAAAAACAATATACAATCTCATCTTTGGTCTAATTTTGTGAAAAGTATAGGTCATTGGGAGTAAAATTCTCACTTGTGTACCCATGGTACTAAGCAACTCTTGAGTACCATTCATCAGAAAGCCAGCAAAGGCTGTTCATCAGACCGTTTCACTTTAAGTGCCTGTTAAACTAATATTGACTTTTCCCACTAAAGCAAAATCTGATATTTGTGCCCAGAAGACTGAAAAAAATTGCAGGAAGGAAAAGAAAGAATCTTCTTGACCTTTTCTTTCTATTCCCCCTATACCTTTGAGAGTCAGTCTATTTGTAATATAAACCTAATAGGGGATGTGAAGAGTGAAGATATTCAGGCACAGAACTTTCTATATTACCATTTTTTAAAAAGAAAAGAATGTTCTGGGGCATTTCTTTACCATTTTAAATAGTCTGTTTGCTTTCCTTGAAACCCCCCAACAAACTTGTACTCTTTTTATAAACATGGTTTGATCTTTCCTACCTGTATCCATTCTCTAGTAGAATCAATTTCAGGTGTCCATCCATTTTCAGGATAATTTAAGCGGGACCTTTCAGGTGACCACTGGGTGTTATACTGAGAAGAGGCAGTAATTTGGTCAGAATGAATTTCACCAGATTCCATGCCAAGTGGTTCCATGCACTGGAAATCTGAACAAAAAAAAAACAAGCATTGATATCCTTATTGCATCTTTTTCTGATAGGAATGCCGAAGTATTGTTATGTTACTTTATAAATAAGAAACTTCTGGCAATTTTAAGATAGTTCTGACTTCAATTTTTAGAATTATATAAACATAGTGACAGCCACAAGTATACTGATGATACCTGCTTTATTTTTCCAAAGTGCTGAGTTGATATCTGGAGCTTATCATGTGCTAGATGAATATCTAGGTTAATAAACCTAGATTGAATTCCATTTAGATGATGATTCTTTGGATGAATGGCTCTTAGATACAGGATATTCTGGATGAGATTGTATTTTCCCTGAAGTATTTTTTGTTCTAGCTTGATCACTGGAAGCTCAATCAGGCAAGTCTCATAGATACTAACTGGCTTGAAGTCACTAACAAGCTTTATAATTAAGCACAGATTTGAACTAAATCTTCCTGGCCCACTGTATATTATAGTATGTTGGCTTTATGTGCATTTAGATATGGTATTTCCTATATCCGCTTTTAGCCAGATCTATAAGATTCAATTCTCAAGGCTTTTGACTAGATGTCTTTTTCATAATTTGATGTGATCAATAAACGGGAATTCCATTACAGACTCTCGTTCTGTTTTCTCTGAATATTTATAAATGAACATTAAATAATTACTTGTCATTACCAGTTCTGTATTTATTTTCATGATATAGTAAAAAGGATTGCTTCAGACTAAGTTCCACTTCTAATGAGTTTATGGATATGGACATGTTGTTTTCTTGGCAACAGGACAGACGTGATTTGCCACTGACATCTTCTGAGATTTTTATTTAATTCCCGCTGTAACCTATGGCCGAGCTTTTCTTGGTAGTGTCCCATTCAAGTACTAAGCAGATCCAAACATGTGTTGCTTTCAAGGATTAATAAATATATTAAGCATAAATAAAAATTATATTAAATAAATATAAATAAATAAATCTATTAAGCAACATGAATATAAAAACTTTTCCAGCTTTCTTACAAAGTTCAGCACGGGTTCTAGTGGACAAAAGGTAAAACAGTGGTTCAAAATGGGTGCGTATTTGTGTATTTTAATCATTATTATAACAAAATAATATTTAACATGTTTGTTTGTCTGCAAACATAAGAAACCTCAACTTTTCATGGAAGCTAAATTCAATCATTGCTCTAAGTCTGGATTAGTTTTGTATGGTAATTCATCCAAAAGGGAGTCCAGGATGTGAATCAAGGATCTTCCTAACTCTAGATACCAGAGTAGTATGCGTGGGGGACAATACTTCTGCCTTTTTCTACAGCGGTGCTGGATTTTCCTGTTTTTCCTTTTACATTGGTCACAATGAAGGAGATCTATGCCAGCTTCAGGCTGGCAAAAACGAGGTACCTAATCCTAGACTCGCTCATGGACATGGTTGATTTGAGGTCGCCTCTATTCTGCTTTCCTAGTTTGATGATTTCTATTGGTTTTGTCTGGAATACCACTAATAGAAGCTTTTGCTTTTGAGTGGGAGGGCTCAGGGCTTCTGGAACAAATGAATCTCCCCCCAGAAGAAGAGCCCCGTTATACCAGCAAAGGCCAGCGGACAGGCATTTCTACCTCCTTCTAGGCCTCTTATATAATTATGTTACAACTGTTCTACCTGTTATTGTGTAACTTTCTGTATTTGGCTTATTCGTTTTAATTAGACTATTTTACTTTACAACTTGTCTATCTGGTCTTCACACACATGTTCCTTTACCTGGAAATATAACACTCTAGTCCTTATAACATGCAATGAAAACATTTAATCTAAGTGTAGCACTAAACGGTATCATAATATCAGAAAGGACAAATGATGTGATGAGTACAGCTAATCTTGTCTGCAATTTAAATTGTACGTGAAGTTTTATTAGAAATGATCGAATGGGATCAGGTTGGTCAGCATTTTTCCCTTTGAAAGAAACATTTTTATAAAGTCAAAGAGAACAATTACGACTGATTGTACCAGGATTTTATATAGATAAGAGTCGTTACTCTGAAAATGGAAAATGTGTTCTAGATATTGTCTGCTGCAATTCTACCGAGCAGTTAAGAGCTCCTGGAATTTAAAGTGGGTTTGCCTAAAAGGCTGCTTCATTTCAAGAGCCCTCAAGCTTATTAACTGAAGAATATCTCCATAAAACAGGGATTCAGAATTCTTTTAATTTTTTTGTTTTTTTATTTTTTAACATTATTTTGCTTAGAAAACAAATCAAATAACAGATACAGAGTGAACAATATATAACTTGGCAATAGATGGGATTCAGAATTCTTGAAGGACAACAGATTACTGTCCCTGTTAAGGGATTCGCAAATTCTGAAGTAGAGTAACTTTCTGTTCAGAGTGGTAATTTCTAATCCTCACTAGAGAGGGATTCCTGGTCATGCTAAGTTTTTCCTGGACATTGACAGTCGTTTCTAGATTTAGTTCTCCCCCCCCCCCCCCCCCTTCTCTCTCCTGCTTCTTCCTCCCTTGTTCTCTGACTCTGACCTTTAGCTCTAACTCGAAATTACTTATAGCTAAGTCCTCCTATATGCAGTGTGAAAACTGTCAACTATGTTGGTTCCCTATGAATCTTGGCTTTTTGTTGTTATTTTAATGTTACATTTCTTGGTCTCATGTTTTTTAGCTGAATTGTCTTGAGTTGGGGTATGAATGGAATAATATTTTATTCATTATTCGTACATTCTGAAGATTTTTAATTGTTACATCTATATCTCCATTTTATTGTGTATTAAGACAGGATGTGTATTAAGACAATATCTGTATTATCTCCTAAAATCATACAAAGGAAAACAAACGTGGGCAGGATTTCTGAGGAACGTTTTTCTCTCTTGCATGATTTGCAGCCTCCACTTCCTAGAGAGCGGCACTCCTATACTAATCCCTAACTCAGTGTTGTCTAAACTTGGCCACTTTAAGATGAGTGGACTTCAACTCTCACCCATGCTGGCTGGGGAATTCTGGGAGTTGAAGTCCACTCATCTTAAAGTGGCCAAGTTTGGACAACACTGCCCTAACTAATGTACATTTACTACCTACCTACCTACCTACCTACCTACCTACCTTGAAGTCCACTCATCTTAAAGTGGCCAAGTTTGGACAACACTGCCCTAACTAATGTACATTTACTACCTACCTACCTACCTACCTATCTTCTATTATCACATCTAATGTGATGTTTTTGTGGAGTTTTTGATCATTCATTTTTGTTTCAGTAAATCAGATTTAAGGTGAAAAGTGTTCTGTGTCTGCATATATGATATATTTTCTTATTTTTATCCATGGAATCAAAAAAGTAAATTTGTGAGCAATTTCAGCTAACGGTTAGAAATTAGTTAAGTGATGGAGCAAGTTACTTGCATCAGAATGCTCAGGTCTTTATTTAATTTAATGCCTAATAGATCCTCATAGCTCCTAGCCCATATCCCTATAAGTGAGAGAGAAAAAAAGTTGAGTGAGCTGATCTTGCATGCCAATCAAGTATCCTCAATGGATTTTGCCCCTCAATGTTTTGCTTTTGCAGCAATGAGATGCCAAATACAACTTACAATGTACTCAAAGGACAGGCCATATGCATAAATTTATGAAGTCTTGGACAACTTATATCTAGGTTTGTATGTTATTGTTTAGATTTAGTGTTCTCAATTTCAGCAAGAGTAGGGGAATTCTGTAACTTCATGACTTTTTAGAGAAACTAGAGTCTCCTGACATTAATAATAAGAGGGCTTGTTTTTAAAACATGCACACACAAAAGACAGAGTCCTGATTTATCTATGGTTTCCATGTATTTCATACAGCACTCAGCAGGAGAGAAGATATGACAGAGAATATTTGATGCACCACTCTGCAGGATGAATAAACACTGACCTTCTGAAACACTGTTCTGGACAACAGTGTAGTTTGCAGAGAAGCCTTCTTTTGCTATTGCACTGTCAGTATAGAAAACCATGGAGAGAATGCCAGTTGATGAGAGGACACGACCGGGGGTGTTTTGTCCACAATATCGCCCAATATGAGGACCAACTGAAAGGAAGATGGTAATACATATATAAAAAGAAGCAAATGATTGAATATTCCAAGAACAAATGGTTAAATTTTTCCAACAACAAAAATATGCATACTAGAGGTCCCTCAAGAGATTATAGGAAGACAGCCCTATAAGATAGGAAGTAGAAAGTATCCTCCAGTGGTTATACCTTATTAATCAGGAAACGATCTGTTGTTCTGCTCTGCAACAGAAGTATTGCTTATACCAGGGGTTGGGAACCTTTTTGTCTGAGAGAGCCATGAACGCCACATATTTTAAAATGTAATTCCATGAGAACCATACAATGTGTTTAA